CCCCCCCCCTCTGAAACCCGTGCTACAGTTGGGACTGACGCTCTAAGCCACGGATCGGCTGCAGGCGGTGCGGCCAGCAGCCCCGATCGACCACAGCCGGAGGCAGGCGTCACACCCCCGCAGCCAATCAGTGGCTGCCGTCTGCGCCCGCTCACCTCTGACCCACTATCTGGCCGGACACGGCCCGCAGCTCAGCGCCCGCCACCGACCCGACCCCCATCGCAGTGCGCCGCCCACCTGCGGCCTACCCCAACAGCCCGCCCGTCCCACACCCCATCCACACAGCCCGCCCGTCCCACACCCCATCCACACAGCCCGCCCGTCCCACTGCCATCCACACAGCCCGCCCGTCCCACACCCCATCCACACAGCCCGCCCGTCCCACACCCCATCCACACAGCCCGCCCGTCCCACACCCCATCCACACAGCCCGCCCGTCCCACACCCCATCCACACAGCCCGCCCGTCCCACTGCCATCCACACAGCCCGCCCGTCCCACACCCCATCCACACAGCCCGCCCGTCCCACACCCCATCCACACAGCCCGCCCGTCCCACACCCCATCCACACAGCCCGCCCGTCCCACACCCCATCCACACAGCCCGCCCGTCCCACACCTCATCCACACAGCCCGCCCGTCCCACACCCCATCCACACAGCCCGCCCGTCCCACTGCCATCCACACAGCCCGCCCGTCCCACACCCCATCCACACAGCCCGCCCGTCCCACACCCCATCCACACAGCCCGCCCGTCCCACACCCCATCCACACAGCCCGCCCGTCCCACACCCCATCCACACAGCCCGCCCGTCCCACTGCCATCCACACAGCCCGCCCGTCCCACTGCCATCCACACAGCCCGCCCGTCCCACACCCCATCCACACAGCCCGCCCGTCCCACACCCCATCCACACAGCCCGCCCGTCCCACTGCCATCCACACAGCCCGCCCGTCCCACACCCCATCCACACAGCCCGCCCGTCCCACACCCCATCCACACAGCCCGCCCGTCCCACTGCCATCCACACAGCCCGCCCGTCCCACACCCCATCCACACAGCCCGCCCGTCCCACACCCCATCCACACAGCCCGCCCGTCCCACACCCCATCCACACAGCCCGCCCGTCCCACTGCCATCCACACAGCCCGCCCGTCCCACACCCCATCCACACAGCCCGCCCGTCCCACTGCCATCCACACAGCCCGCCCGTCCCACACCCCATCCACACAGCCCGCCCGTCCCACACCCCATCCACACAGCCCGCCCGTCCCACTGCCATCCACACAGCCCGCCCGTCCCACACCCCATCCACACAGCCCGCCCGTCCCACACCCCATCCACACAGCCCGCCCGTCCCACACCCCATCCACACAGCCCGCCCGTCCCACTGCCATCCACACAGCCCGCCCGTCCCACACCCCATCCACACAGCCCGCCCGTCCCACCAGACAACCCGCCTGTCCCACCACACAGTCCGCCCCTCCCGCCACACAGCCCCCATCCTCTCCATACAGCCCCACCCGACCCTAACACAGCCCCACCCTGACCCCCGAACCCGGACCCGTAACCTCACCCCGGACGCTCACCCGAGCCCTAACCCCACCCGCTCCAGACCAGCCCGCATCAATATGCGACAGAGCGGATTCCAATTCCATTACAATGGCCCGCGCAGCCACACCTCTGTTATTTCACTTTCCAAACCAATCAGGCGACATATGATGCTCTCGGGCGGCGGCGCGGAGGGCCTATATTGCGTTTCTGGCCCGCAGGCGATCGCAAGATCGACTTTCTTGTTCGCCCTGAGTCGCGGCCGCACCCACGGGCTCAAAAGGAGCAGTATACTGTCGGATTGTTTGGTGTACTTTGTTTCATTTCTATGGATAGCATTTTGAAACAATATAACAATGCCTACACATGCCACGTAAATATCGTAAAACATCACGAAAGTGTGTCGCGGTAAAAGATATTGACGGCATGTTATCCATATCCATAGATAAGCGAGTAATATCAATATCTCAATCATGATATAGAAACACATCTTGTGCATACCAAGTGAACTCATCTTTTCATATATTACTTCAGATGTTTTCAAAAAATGTAATATTCTACAACAATGTCCTCAGAGTTAACAATTTTGTGCACATAACGGTATGATACAATGATATGCCATAAAAATACTTTGGAAATGCAAGTGCCTCAAATGCATGTGCCTTTTATTCCCTTGTTATATTTCCGAGGAGAATAAGAGGCACACTGGGATATGGTAAGCAAATATGTCAGTTCCCCGAAAATAGTACGTCTGAATGCTAGTGAACAAATACGGTTTGAATGCTTGACCTAGATTTCCCTTCAACGTCCTCATGTAGAATGTACATACATGGCACTGCTTATATTTGATTTAAGCAAGTTAACCGCCATGTTCTGACACTGGACAGCTAAATTATAGCGTATGACATTAACGATTGTTGTCATACATAATACAAAGCTCTCAAACATTCGCATACGCGCCATGCAAGCAGGCGACAGCGCAATCTAGCCATTTCCACTGCACTGTCGTGCAGGGAGTGCCTTTGGTGGCACGGATTTCCACATATGCTACGGTACTGCAGGTATGGCTATGTTTCCAGTGGTCACTTTGGCCATAAAGACGCTTGCTGTGCATTGTTTGCTCGCCTGCCCCAGACGGAGATTGAATCTCTAAAGCCAAGTTGTGAACTTCTGGGCCTGGCCCAGAAACCAGAGAAGCTGAGTGTCCAGGCATCCCAGCTCATCTCAGCGACCCCTATTTTCGTACAAATCAGACTCGAAATATCAAGAACTACTAACTTAGTTTAAAAGATTTGCAAATGGTCAATGATGATTTGCCGCGCTTTAAAACGCAACTCTGGTTTCCAAAATGACGTAAAACATGCGAGCTTTTACGTCCAACTCTCTATAAGGACACATTTTGGTGTGAAATGCTCAATGATTTGATGAGTCCTTGGCACCGTTTGTGAAAATGCATATCAACGACCGAATGAGCCAAACACCCCTCAAGTGGATATATACAGACGAATAGCGTAGTACGTATAAGATGTTACTGTATACTTGATAAAACTCTCAGTCCTTTTAAAAAGAGTTACGCTGTAATTAAAAAATTGTTCCTGTTTGTCGAGCTAGCTTGACGCTCTCAGTGGAGCATTGTGATCGCACATTTTCAAAAAGAAAATTCAATGAAAGGGGAAGACGCATGGGTTGATATATTGTCGCTTAGAGAGAAGTGTTCCACTCACTGAAATATGTAACTACTCCCATTCGTCCTCCATATATCTCAGAGCCGCAGCGCCAACGGTTCAACTCCCCATGAGGTAAGCGGAATACCTGGGCGACGAGCCCCCACCCAGGTGCTCACACCATGCTGACTCGATAAAACTCCTCAAGTGGGCGCCAAACGGCATCCTCGGCAGCCAACTGCCGCCAGTTAAGACTGTAGCCAGCCGACGGGAAAGCTTCCAGAAACTCCTGCATCGTTCCAGCGTCCAGGTGGGCCCATCGGAATCTCACTCACTAAACTTAGGCTCAATTACAATAACCGACTCACGTGAAACTGACCTGACTCAGGTGGAATCGACACTCTACCCATATTCCACTTCTGGAGTGGCCCGACAATCGGATGACCTTCAATACGAGTACGTCTACACCCACTGCAGCTGATTATATTTGAACTTCTAGAGGAATCCTTCCAATATGGTATTGATCGAAGCGTATGTATGCATTAATGAAGCTGACTCTAACGGCAAGTTAGGCGAGATTAGGATGCGTGACATCCGTTCGAACAACAGCTTATGGTACTATATAACGAGGGATTTCGTGACTTTCGGTTGACGTTTTAATTTGAAATATACAGTGGTAGCGTTAATGATTATTATATACCTTACGTCTATCCGTTGACTCATTCGTCGATTATTTCTCGCCGAAAAAAAACGAGTGTATTCAAACAAAGAAAACAGTACAAACATGCACCTCAAATAGGTATACAAATATGCACAGATAACTACAGCTAAGGCTGAGCTAGACACGATAAGTCAGGACACTGAGTAACACCGCGCATGAGGTATGGAGCCAGGTCTGGGTCCGCCAGAGGGTCGCGGCTCAGATCGACATCTTGTAGCACAAAACTTGCCCTCATTTCCTCATATATCTTTCTATACATTATAAGGCGAGTAGAGATTGAGCTGATGGATTTTGAGGGTGATGATGGTATGTCTTGGTGTCCGGCAAAAGAGTGGGATGCTGATGGTGTGTCGTAGTCGTGGGTTTCAAGCGCTGGGGATGGTGGTGCTGTTGGGTTGGATTGAGCTGGTGATCGTGGCTGAGGGAGGGTGTGAGAGAAGTGGGCCTGAGTGTTACGGGTGTCATGATAAGTCTGTTGTTTCGGTGTATGATGTGGAGCTGCACGTGGTGGTGAGGTTTGGTTGGCGGGGCTCATGGAGGAGGAATGATCAGCAGAGCCTCTTATTGCTACCGCGTTTCCGCGGATGACGGCAATAGAAATTTTTTGCCATAACCAGGCCGTCTCGCGCCTCTCGCCGGTTACTGCTGTGATCCTACGGCCGAGTTCCTGCACTAGGTTGATGGCACTGGGGCCAACAACGCCTGATGTTTCGACCGCCAATGGAACGAAAATGTACTGGGATGATAAGGAGGCGTACCGCTGCACCTTTCGATCCTCTGCGGCCCGGGCCGCTGATCCTGGTTTTATTGCCGATTTTGTCAGGCTGCTTTCAGCAAAAGTATCCGTGCATGTCGCGTCCCAGATCAGGCATTTTCCGCCTTTAAAAGGGAATGTGGTAAGCCGGTCAGGACGCTTGCCGTCACCTCTGTCAAGGCCAGTAGGCTCGAGGACGGACGGGACGCCAGATGCAGCGAGGCTGCGCTTCACCAAATCGTTCAGCTCGGCATGACGGGGGAATCGACCAGCACTTTTGCTGCAGGATAAGGCGTGATGACCCAACCTGTCAACCGGGCGGCTGCATAGGCGACAGGCATGAGGCTCACATATAGCGGCGCCAAGACGGAGAGCCACTGCTATTCTAACGGATTCCGGGTCCAAAAGAAGACCAAGGCTGGGGACCGGTACTGCTTGAAGCCATGCGGCTGTGTGGGGCTGGGTGGCGGCAAGTAAACGAGCTCTGTGGATTTGATTTGTTTCGCGGAGTAACTGTTTGTAGCTAGCCTCCGATGCCAGGTCGTCCCAAGCCCTCTGCTGTCCTGGCATAGAGGGGTCGGGGAGTGTTGCCTCACCGATTAGAGGGAGGAGTCGGTCAAGCGCAGGTTTCCTGGCCAGTGTGACATCATACATGTTTCCTAGATTGCAAAGAATTGACGAAACGAGAGAGGATGCCTCAGTCAGAGATGCTAAGTGACAGGGAAGAGCTAAACGTTCGACTGATCTAACGCCTAGACCCCCGTACCGAACCGGGAGGGAAGCCTGTGTCCAAGCCTCGTCTCTTATACTGACATTGCATATGTCTGTGAGCGCCGATCGCGTAATGGCGTCGATGGCCTGCAGTCCCGTGCTATCTAAGTACATGGGACTGGATCGCAGGAGATTGCAATAAATGGAAGGGTGGATAAGGGTTAAAAACTGTTGCTAGCAATTCGTTATTGTTAGCTGAAATTTGTGCTTAACATGAGTTTGTGAAAGATCTTCCTTTCAATCGTAATTTATGTTGTCACGGTGTTACAGCGGGAGCTGCACTTGTTGCACGATATTCACAAGATGACGCAAACGAGATTCCCTGCCATCGGACTGTCTTTGGCTTGTACTGTATGGTCGAAAATGATATTTATTCAGGTGGACATCATGCGCCCATCAGCCGCCCGGTCATGATTCAAGAAGGGTCTGGGCTACCCCGGTGTCCATTTGATGTCAATCCCGCGGATAGGCGCACCGGTGCTCACTATACGTCAATCTACATGGTACGGCGCTGTCAGAGAAATTGCGTACCTCTGATCAACAGACATCATTTTGTTATATTTGTTTGAATAATAATGAAAAAGAATCACATACCCCAGCCAGGTGACTTACTACGCAGGAGATAAAAATACTTTAATACAAATGATCTGGTATCTGTCAGCGTACTACCGTGATATGCTATGTCTGAAGCTGAAATTGCGGGACCCAAGACTTCAAAGATTATTTTCAATCCAGAATAATGGTGAAAGCTATGGAAAATGCATTTGTGGTTTCGTTAATGCAGTCGCATCGGAGGACCTATCTGGTATAGGCAAATGCCATTTATTTGAATCGAAATGGAACTGAATTTATGTCTGGATGTTGAGTCACTAATGTAAAAATAAAAACCAGTAAAACGCCTTTTGGGCGAAGAACGAGCGAGCGAGATAGTGAGCCATGCACGTGCGGAAGGGCGAGAGGGTGCTTCCAACGGGCTTGCGCAAAGCACCCTTCTAACTGGTCGCTAGCGGTGTGCCAAATTTGAACGCAATCGGCCCGGCCGTTCCTGAGATCTGGAAGCGGCATTCTGCACGTGCGCACGTGCAAACGGGGTCCAAAATGACTTTTGCACGGCACCCTACTAACTGGTCCCCAACCGTGTACCAAATTTGAGCGCAATCGGCCCAGCCGTTCTCGAGATCTGGAAACGCCCCCTGCACGTGCGCACGTGCAGTAGCACCCTAACCGCAACACATGGGAATGCATTGCCTGGTGGGTGCCTACTTGCATGCCAAGTTTCAGCGAAATCGCCCCAGTCATTACCAAGTTACTGAAATGGGAACAAATTTGGCACCTCTTATTGTTGTATTTTGCACGTGCACTGGGGGTGACCCACAAGCATCGAGAGTATCCAATTTTGGGTAGAAGGGATGCTGCTACCCTATAAAAATTACCGCAAGTCAATCGCCCAAGCGGCTGCTGAGATATGAGCCTCTCAAAATCACTACTTTTGCAAAACAGCTTGAACACCCTTGACTTTTCACGTGGCACGTGCCACGACGGTCACTGAGATGTATCAAAAGTAGTCAATTACGGGGTAGAAGGGATGGGGCTACCCAACAAAAAAGACCGCAGGCCAATTGGTCCAGCGGTTGCTGAGATATAAGCCTCTCAAAAGCGTTACAGGCCGGGCCGGGCCGGGCCGCTCATACTGAGATTTTTCCGTTATATTGAAAAGACTCACTTCGCTCGCTGCGCTCGCTCGCTCGTAATAAACAGAGAAACACAGTTTATTGATTTTGATAATGTTAGATCTGTGAAATGATTGATTTGATCAATGACATAGTCGAATATTAACTAACATGAAATTGTCGATTACACTGTTATAAACTATGCTTACAATAGTCATTCGTTTTTGCAAATACCTATGTTCGCGGTTAAGGGGACAAAAAACATTCTTAATAGGTGTTACCTACTTTGTTGTGAATCAGTCGCTGTTGAGATTGACTACAGTCAATTGAATAAGACTGCGTATAAATTGAAAATCATGCTCTGAAAATTAATCGCATTTACAAGTGATACGGATCCGCTGGAATACTGTAATCCATTCCAGCCAGCGAAAAGTGACCTCATCAGAAGTAGCGGCTAAGCGGACCCCCAGTGACCACCCGTTCCTTCCTGTGTGGACCACCATGACCGCCCGTTCCTTCCTGTGTGGACCACCATGACCGCCCGTGCCCGTGCAGTGCCCATGTCGCGGTCCACCCGGCCACGTGCCGCTGGTAACGGCACGGCACCTGTGTCGGCACGTCTGGCCGCTAAGCCCGCACAGAGGCCGGTAAGCCGTCACGTCCGTGGCCGGCTCAGAGCCCCGTGACGTCCAGGGCGCGGTCCGAGCGGCACTGCGCCGCCGAGCTGATCCCACGGCGGCGCAGGTGATCCCCGGGAGCCGCCCGGCGCCCGAGACTACCGGTCCGTGAGCGTGCCGCACGTGTCGGGGGGGGGGAGGAGAAGGCGGACACAGCGCCGCGGCACTCACCTCGCACTTTGGGAAGTCGCTCTGGACGCGCTTCTTCCTCCAGCCGAGCAGCGGCGGGAAGCAGATGAGCGCGCTGAAGAGCCAGACGAAGGCGATCATGAAGATGGCCCGGCGCGGCGTGCGGCTCTTGAGGTAGTCGACGGCCTGTGTGATGGACCAGTAGCGGTCCAGGCTGATGAGGCAGATGTTGTTGATGGAGCTAGTGCAGGCGAGCACGTCAATGGCGGCGTGCAGGCTGCACCACAGTTCGCCAAACAGCCAGTAGCCCATCAGCTCCTGGGCCAGCGAGAACGGCATAATGATCAGTCCCACCATGAAATCGGCCACTGCCAGTGACGCGATGAACCAGTTCTGTATGCCTTTGAGCGCCTTCTCGGTGGCGATGGCGATGATGACCAGCATGTTACCCACCACGACCACGATCATGATGAGCGTCACAACGACCGAGGTGAGCACGATGCGCAGCGTGGAGTAGCCGGACGGGTAGAGCGACTCGCCCCAGGGGTAGAGCAGCAGCGTGCCATTGGTGCTGTTGGCCTCGGCCGCCTCCGTCAGCGGGGTGACGTTCACGGTCGCCATGGTGTGGGCGCCGCACCCGCTGCCGCGGACGCCGCCCGCCGAGTGCCGACCGACGCCGACCGGCCCGCCGACGCGCCGGCGACGACTCGGCGCGCGCCACTGTCCGGACGCCGAGGCAAGGACCGCGGCGCGGGCGACCGTCGGCAGAGCGGCCGACCGCCGGCGGACCGAGCGCCCGAGGGCAGAGCCGACGAGTCAGTCCTACCGACCGCGGGACCGGCAGCGCGGCCGGCACCGGCTGCTGCACGGCCCTGCAGTCTGGTTTGGCTAACAAGGATGATTGAGGTCTAAGATAGGTATCCGTCCCATCTTAACATTTTGTACAGGGTGTCCCAAAATTAATGTCACACCCTCCCACCAGGGTTGTATACCAATCAAGTCGATTGAATTGATTGATTTGATTCAGCGCGTATTTTGAGTTGATTGGATTGAGTCGATTGACTTTTCGAGATGACTGGTTGACTGACTCGTTTGACTTTAGCGACTGGTTGACTGATTTGATTCCCGAAAATTAGAGTGACTCGTATGATTGAGTCGATTGAATGGAAAGTTGAAATAAGTTTTAGTTGACGAAAAATAATGACACCAATTGATGACATCAAAGATCACAAAACTACACTGAAAACTGCTTGTCATCACAACTGCAATATGGAGTAGATGGCCAAATAAAGAACAGGGCCTAAACATGAACAGCCAACTTTGACTTTCAACTGCAATAACTGCTCCAATCCTGTGATAGAACCTGGCGATGCACCTACCTACCTTTCTGCACTCAGCAGGAATTTTTTTTTAATCCAGATGATAAAGTGCAAGGCCCTATATACTAATAAAGTGTGATTAATTACTAATTCACATCTCCACATCTCCTCAGAAACAACCCACTGAACTCTATAAATATCTGAAACCCCTACAAAAATAACTGAAACAAAAGCGCCGTTTTCGTCTCGCTAATTACGTTTACATTAATAGCTAATTTGCTGCATTGTTTAATTTGCAGCAGAACGTTTGTTGATCCTTTTCTCCTGAGAGCCTAGGCATAACATATTTCATTTTCCTCAAAATATTTTACCGAATATTATTAAGCGGTTTTATTTCAATTGAAATAATAATTAAAACGAAATTGGTGTTGTACAACCGATTTATTTTATGATGATCTACCATACTACATGATAATCAATGACGTCATCTTACCAAAAAATCAAAAAACGAAGAATAAGAATTTATAAAAGCTTAGCATACTTCTTGGCAAAACGTTTTCTTTGTTTTTTCGCAGTCGCACCAACGGCATTTAATTTTCCTTGTTCTTCTTCCTTTGTCCTTAACTTATCCTGTGGTTCCAGAGTCCCTGTCCTTTCCATTTCCTTTTAAATATATTTTTAATGCTCATCCCTATCCCCCAGTCCTAACAGTTTCAAATTGTATTGCAATAAAATGTTTTGAATTCTTCACATATAACCTATCTACCTTCCTTGGTACTGTTGGTAGCCAGTGACACATCTAGGCAGGTAAGTAGGTACCTACCTGCTTTCCTGCTGTCTTCATAAAGCATACCTAATGAAGTTGTCAAATTTATAGCACATTTTCAACACTTTCATATCAATATGGTGTCAGTGTGGCATGTAACCTAGCTAGGTTCATTATGTTCATGATCCACCTGTCCATCACTAGGTATCCTTCCTTATTACATAGAAACTTTGAATGGCATGGCAATTTATAATTTTAAATGACAATATTTTTGTTTCTTCTGTAGGTAGGTAGGTAGGTAGGTACACCAGACTGCTATGGACACTTTTCCAAGTTGGTGGGGCGAAAAACCTAATGTATATCTTGGTTTGAGTCGTTTGATTGAGTTGATTGATTCCTTTCATTGTCGCGTTTGAGTCGATTGAATCAATTCCCGAAAACTGCTCTGACTTGATTGATTTGATTGGTTTCCCAAATTTGTCGTGATTGAATTGATTGCTATTGATTGAGTCGTATACAACCCTGCCTCCCACAACCTTTGTTTTGCCTTCTACTGCGCAATATCAATATAATTTCACCGGTACTGGCTCCCAGACCATATTGGCTACATTCTAGTCACGTGACTTTCAAATTTTTGTGTCCCTGACCGGTCAAGGGGTGTACGGAGGTCATTTCCGGGGCAGTACCCAGCGCGCGCGGACCAGGTGTCCAGGATGGCGAAACTGCAGAGCAAATCGTCCCGCAACGGGGCAGTCGGCATGGTTGCCGGTGGCATAACCCACGGCCAGGTCGCCGAGGTACTGGGCATGAGTTGTCGCACGATTTGACGCTGGTTATCACGCGACAGAAGCGGATAGACGCCTGGGAACAAGCTAGATCGCGGCAGGAAGACTTCCGCCAGCCGATAGCGCAGATCGTCATCGCGAAGTGCGGAGCTAAAGACGGGCTTATCCACAAGGAAATTGGCAAGGAGGTTGATTGACAACAGCCATCCAGTCTTCAAATTGATAACCCATCGGTACCGGAGGATGTCTCTAAGCTGAAGACCAACAAGCCACGTTTCCAGCCGAAACCCTCTGCTGAACATGTCCAGGGCCATCTTTCAACAAATCGGCGCCCCGGCTCATCGAGCTAGAACGACGAAGGACTGGTACAGATCGAGCTTCCCAGCATTCTAGGAGAAGGACAAATGGCCGGTGAATAGCCCCGACCTGTCGCCGATACAAAATCTTTGGGCGATCGTCCTAAGAGCCGAGGTGAACAAAACGGCGCCAGGATAACCTGAACGCACGCTGACCAGGAACGTTCGATCTGTCTGGTCCAAGATCAGTCCACATGGCTAGACATGTTGATGTCTGGTGTCCCGGACCGTATGCTTGCCCGCATCAGGAAGAAGGTGGAATGCATATGTAAGAAAAGCGCGCCTCTCATGTTTGTTATTTTAATGAATTTGACGCTGGAAAGGTGTAACATTATTTTTGGGACACCCTGCACGTGATGGCATTGTATATATTTAATAGGTCGATTTTGTATACATTTATAGGCATTATCGTTTTGCTCCTTTTTCCAGGACCTGGCTAATAGTTTGGTGAATATGGACGAGTTTTATCCTAACAACTATACCGAAATTCGTGATGAGTGTTCCTGCTCCGACATTTTTGAACAAGGACGCATGCGTGCCTCCATCTACCCGCATAGATCTCATGTATTGGTTATATTTAGGTGCCCATGGTTATGGTCAAGTGTAAATTACGACGTTTGCGAAACTGCCTCCTTTGCAACACTTGAAAAAACAGCACCGCTCAAAATCGTCATCAATGGAGAGACTTTGCCTTTAAAGACTGTGGTGTCGGTTCTGCAGGGTCGATCGACGCCACGTGCCATGTGCTACGTGCCGCCAGACAAAACGCCTCATAAACTCCTTTGTCGGTGGTTCTGGATAAACGAATGGTGACACATATTACTCCACTGTGAACCAGACGATGCAGCTCACCATCCGGCGCCACATGCCCTCAGGCCTCATGACTGCGGCTTTGACGCTAAACATTAGCCCTCTTCGAACATTGAAATAAGTAGCACAAAAGAGATTTTAGTTAGAATGTTTTGTATTGTAGGATTTCTAGCCTTGGAACTTTGGATATGCAGGGGTTGTTGCGTATGGTCCTAACCGCTTGGCAATTGCATGTAATATACGCGCCGGAAAGTTTGGAGTTGACATAATTAAATACAATTAGCAAATTGCGTCTCAATATGCAAATTGAGGCAGACAATACTTCAATTATGTTAAAAGTTGAGCAGAAATCGTTTCCGTTTTCTTCTGGGGTATGAAATTTGGTCACCGTGACAAGCAGATCATCCGTCCAGTCCGTCAAGCCCATGGTTAAAGAAAAACGACCAATTGACTAGTTCACACAACTCGGCGCAAATTTTAAATACCTGTGAGCTGGCCAAAGAGAAAGTTCGAGTGGTGCAGTTCGTTGAAGTTGGCGTTTGAAAATACCGACCTACATAATGTAGCTGCCTTACCAGAAAATGGCGGTTCTTATCGTTTGTATTTTGTACAGCGTGGTATCCCTCAACAAAAAAGCACAACGTGCTAACCTAACAAAACTTGTTTGGGCGCACAATGAAATACAATTTGCAGCAACAGAATGTCGCCGTGCGGCGTCTCTCAAACTAAAAAGCCTGTCGCAGTGGCGGCCGGGCCATGGAGCGATATTGGCATCGTTAAATCATTGTTTGAAACCCAGACGCCTTCGAAAGCCATAATGACGGCGGAGATCGATCGGGCGCTTACGGCGGCTCCTGACGTGTCCTCCGGCCCGGCCGCGGCGACAGCCGCCTCCGGGCTGTGGGTGCAGCCTACAGGGTCGTCTGTCTCATCAGCCGGCAGGCAGACGTCGACCGTTTTTGCCGCGACGCGACGTTACGACGAGAGCTTCATCGCCGGAGCCGACGCTCATGCAATTACATGAATGGCACCGGAATGGCGCCATGTTTCCCCGAGTAATGTGAAAACTTGCCGATCGGCTGGGTTTCCGGAGGAAATAAACTGTAGAAACGCGCTCCCTACGTCATCTGTCGGAGATTCATAAGGTGCTAAATGGGGCATGAACTACATATGATGGATATTGCCCATTTGGTTCGGACACTAAGCTGACTTTCAGATTATGAATCAAAGTATTAGTATTTGTCCATTTGGTGCGTTGATTTTATGAGAGACCAGTTTCCCAATTTCTCTTATTGCGGTATCGTCTATAATTTATTGCTTCACTCTAATAAATTGGTTATGTACATACATGTTTTTAGCTGTGAAATAGAGCTGCATGAATTGACCCGGTAACTAAAAACAGCATTTAGGTACTCTTTCCAACTTACTGGCTGATATAGGTAAGTGTACCGCCATATTTATTAGATCTAGACCTATAACAAATGCCTAAAATGCGCCAGTGCGCACCATGGCTGATGGTATGTGACAAAGCAGGTTTTACATTGTTCCAAAAAGTTGTCTTTTTTAAGTCTTAATGTATTGAATGGTCGGTTTTGCCATGATCAAATAATTAAATATGGTGATGAAATTGACCAATAATTCGGCCTTATTTTCGGCCTTATTTTGTTATATAAAGATACATCTCACTGCAATGTTATTGGTCAATTTCATCACCATATTCTTTAAGTCTTTTTAATAAGAAATTGTAGTGGAGTTGAAAACAAAACACATTATTGTGGTCGAGCTCGAGGTAGGCATTAAGCAAGTTTAAAATAAAATAAATTGAGCTTACAAGTAAAGGCTAACTCGTAAATAATATCCGCTAGCCATTCCAGTAGTTGTACATATGCAGAGAAATGAATATAAGTAAGCTCTTAAACTATGATACACTATCAAAGCAACCTTGGAACAGAGTACGCACACTATGCCTACTGTCCTCAGGTCTGTGACTTGCGAGGACACATTCCTGCTATTGCCTCCTGCAGGTGGCGTGTGCGATGGAATGTGTGGGCGTGCAGCTAGCAGGCTCAGCTCAGCATCCAGTCTTCGGTATACCGTGGTGTAGTTATGATGAGCACTTAGCAAAATTAAAGGTAGGTGCCAGCTGCCATAGCTTCGTGCCAGCTGTTATATTTTATCTACGAATAACTTCATTACCAACTATTGGGTACTTGCCGAATTTCTGCAAGAGTTTTATAAAATGGAAAATAGTGAGCAATAATATTCGTACAGCTTTCATCTGTGGTATGCGTTACATTTCGAACGGCCCAACTGTCACTGAAATACCGTTAATCAGCTCTCTCTGCTCGGTATCGGAGGGGTGGCATACAGTGGCGGCGAGCGTGGCTCCATTTATTGACCCTCTAAAAACGAAATGTGAACGAGCCAAATACAGTCGGTGACGGAGCACCGTTACACAGTATGTACAGGGCCGAGCCGAGACTCACCCACGGGCCGGCGGCTGTGCGGCGGCGGCCGGCGGAGTGGCGCCGGCCGGCCGCCGCCGCCGTTTGGAGTTGGCACCAGAGAATTCAGCGCACGCTCAGACAACTACAATCACGGGTATTTATTACAACGCTCCACCTGCCTTGCATGGTGTTTCCACGTGGGCGCAGTCAAATATCATGTTATAGCTCCCGGCGAGCAACAATTCAGCCGACACAAATTTCATCCCGCATACTAGCAAACATAAGTCGGAGGACTACTTTAGTTTAACCGCGCCACTAGAAATACTGCAACTAAAATGGCCGTGGCATCTGTTCACACAACATACCGATAATCACGTTGGGCATACGCTACTGAAGCACAGACAGAGGGTACAGTTCAAAGCCGTCGGTATCGGGGGAATAATCAGCAGATCGGATCGGAAAGCAAAGCAGACAGACGTGTAGTATACGTTAGTGTTTTAAACAGCACACATCTGCAGGCAAAGAGAACCACCATTTATCTAGAAGCTGAGTTCTCGTGTCGCACTTCCAGCAAACAACCTAAACTGAGTCAATATCACATTCTAACGACTCGTGCCACGATTTACGTTATAATGATTTTTACTTAGCAGCGGACTGAGTAATTTCCATTTGTAATCGCATGTTTAACAAAACAAGAAGACAATGCCAAAATCAATTTGCATGTGAACGATGAATACATGGACTGAAAGGGATTGAAAAACGAAAGGATTGTGCTGCAAAAATCTTTGGACATGAGCACGTTCATCTAAAGCCACATGATATATTTACACCATCAAACAAAAACTACGATCGCTTCTCTCTCTCTCTCTCTCTCTCGCGCGCGCGCCGTCTTGCAGCAACAGTAACACATCACTTTGATTAATCTCGTCTCGCGTCGGGCGTGTATGTGTGTTTGTGTATATATAATCAGCATTCAGCACTATATGCGGCGGCTGGCTGCTGTCGCGCGGCGGTCCGGGGGCACTATGGTTAGGTGAAGCGGGGTGGCTGACAGCTCCGGCGTACTATTGTCAGTCAGGAGAGCAGCTCAGTCGGCGCCGGCGGCGCGACACCTCATCAAACAAATCTGAAAGAACGGACTTTGTTGTGCTGGCGGCGGCGGCGGCGGCGCGCGGGCGGCCGGCGCCGGCGGGTCGGCCTTCTCTGAGATCACGTGACCCGCCACCCTGCCGCCGTCGCCACCGTCGTCGTCGACGCTGATCTCTAGGAGATGGTGTCGACGCCGTTGAGCTGGGCACAGGCCAGCATCAGAATATCCTTCTTCTCCTTGGGGAAGCGGAGTTCGCGGCCAGCCAGGCGCGCCTGGTCCAGCTCCTCCTCCGCGGAGCGCAGCTCCTGGGCGATTATGTTGGACATCTCCTGCGCAAAAGAACGGACAGCACTGTCAGAACTCGGTCATGGAAGCCACAGAGCAGGCCTCTGGCGGTCATAATACGTGAGAAACGGTGCATACAGACAGGGCAGATTAAGGCCTATTGAAATGCCTATCGCGTAATGCACCCTTACAAAGCCCCTGAACAACTGGTAACCTTACGTACAGAGTCTCATTTCGTTTGTTGACGAGCAAAAAAAAAAAATATCATCGATCTTTCGACTAAATGCACGCATTCCACTAAATGCACATACAAAATACAATATATGAAAAACGTGCGCCCTTGCGACTCAGGACCGCAGCCCCAGAGCTGCTCTCCTCCGAGTGGCCTGCTGTGGCGTCCCCTATAGCTGACCTGTTCCCGGGCGATCCAGTCGAGCGCCATCTGCGACCTCATGTCGTCGTCCAGGTTACGGTGAGAGTAGTGGGCGACCACCTCCTGCCGGGAGCACTGCCGCTCGCGCATCGCCTGCCACAGAGGTGGACGGAGACAGTGTCAGACGGCGCCGTTATATAGGTGTGGAGTTATATGGAAAGGACAAAACTATACGACTTCTGTTAGATGAAGCACGCACTTGTGACTTTGTTTGTTTTGTTGGGTTAGGCCCTTTCGGTCGACAAGACCATTGCAGAGCCGGAAGGATGATAGGAATTAGGGGGAGACATTGGTCTGGGCAGGCATCCTAGTGAGTCGCCGGGGCTGAGCCCGTCCGAAGACAGGCCACTCAGCCCCAAGGCACTCACTGCACCCGGCTACGGGGTGCGCTCCCTCGGGAGCAGCGGTGCCGCTCCAAGGGAGCAGCCCGCATGAGATAAAGTTGCCTGTCCAGCCCGGAAGGGGGTGGCGGTGTGGAGGAGAAGGATTTCAGAATCCTGAGGATAGAAGCACGGATAGGTGACTTGTGACTTTTCTTTATAGAGATGAAGTTAGAACAGTCTAAAACCTTAAATCGTGGTTTACCATATGCCTTTAGTTTCGAAGTATCTTTGCATTATTTAGTGGGTACCTCCCGTCACAAAAAGTATAGATTAGAGTAATGGCTTCAGCATTCATCCGCTCACCTTGAGGGAACCATTCCAGTGAAGGAGCTGGAAGACGGTCATCAGCTCCTGGAACTCTAACATCGTACGGCCCTTGTTCGACTCCAGCATGAAGCGGAAGGCGCCGATGCCCGTGTTGGGGTTGTCTGCAGCGTCCTGGCTGCCCTGGAACGCACAGGTGGCGCTAGTGAGCGTTACAGAATACAGATGTCGCTCAGGTCTACCTCCCAGGTCTCTAGTTATCCCAGTGTCGCCGGCATCAGTCAGTGCGGACGAACGTGACAGCGACCTGCACCTTCCATAACAGCACTCCAAGATTGTTGAACAGATAGAGCTTTATCAATAGCAGCACGCTAGCAAGCAGAGGGTGATTTCAACTCTGAAAACAGTTACAAATTAGGAAAACCTAAATGCCTCGAGAACAATGAATCAACATAAATATTTGTGGATTGATCGCGTGTCTGAATCTCTAAAAGGCAGCCAGGTATTCAGGGACACGAGCTAATTCGGCATCCTTTACCAAAAACATCGTTTCATTCCAATCTGGCGAGTAAGATTGAGCCAAGCCACGTGAGGGAATGAGACACCAGCAGAGTGGCACCCGTCCCGCCCGGCCGGCGCCGCCGCTGTCTCCAAAACAGGGCAGAGCCGGCCGGTGGTGACGTGACAGCCCTCTCCACTTGGAGGCGGTTAATGTTTGGTCAGCCGGCGGAATATCACAAATCAAGGGAGAGACAGACAGCCGCGGCAGCGGTGGTGTCATCCGTCCTCTTTCAAGTGACCGAGAGGACATAGAACGTTGGTGACATTAACGCGAGCGAAAGCCATGTGGAGAGAGAGAGAGAGAGAGAGAGAGAGAGAGAGAGAGAGAGAGAGAGAGAGAGAGAGAGGGAGAGAGAGGGGGAGGGAGGGAGGACAGGGAGGGAGATGCGGCCGTTGTCAGGGATGAGGTGACACACCGACGACGCACGCGTCCGTCACGTCAAGCCTTGTCACCACGTCCACGTCAAGCATCACGTCATGCCGTGATCGCCAAGTGACTGAGCCGGTTTTAATCTACATCGTGTCTCTGTCCGTGATACCTATGCTAGAATGTGTTTCAGCTCATACTGTTTCCCTCTAACCCTCGCCCTGGCAGGGCATTTTTCACAACACGGCCTGGCGGGGGGGGGGGGGGTGATGCGACCCTCCCCCTCGCGATTGGCTCCTATGGCACCTAGAAACACCAAATTTGTTAGGTAGGTGGGCCCCCTGAAGTTCTCGCCCTTGTGCAAGTTTGGTTGCTCTAGGTCAATATTTAGGGGGGTTTTGGGGGTATAAATGTAAAAATTTCGCTAAAAACAGGTCAAAAGTTTTTTGCTTATAACTTTTGATCTAATTAAGATAGAGCAAAAAAACACTAGTGAACTCAGCACGTCAAGACACGTCGAATGGTATACTTTTTTGCTTGCTTAAGTGTACTTAAAAAATTCTTAATTATTAACCCTATTCCTGGCGGGCTCCGCCGGGACAAGAAACTGGCGGGGGGGGGGGGGGCCGATTCGGCCCCCCTGAGATCTCGAGAACGAAGCAAGATAGCGACAAACGGTAAACGGCATCGGATACGCACGGTCAAGATCTACAATTTTTACAAAGGTCATTTTCAGGTCAGGTCAAAGATGACGTCACAGGGGTCAAAAAGTCAAAATGGCGGCGCTAGATATGGAGAGAGTTTTTCTCGAATAACTTTCGAATTAGTCAAGATAGGAACAAACTAAGGGCATCATCGTGATCCTCTCGTCAATCCGCATCGAATGATATATATGTTGACCTCGCAAGGTCAAGGTCAAAGGTTGACCTCAGGTCACGTGACCTCGAGGTCATCATGTATATCATTCGATGCGTCTTGACGAGCTGAACACAATGAGACCATCCACGCGTCTGTATCTTGTTCCTGTACGGAGTTATTGGCCAAAAACCTTTGGTGACCTTTGATGACGTCACATGACCTCACAGCTGCCCAACAGCAAAACAGACCTCAAGGTAGTGAAGGTTGATCGTATATGAAGTCATGTATGGTATATGGGGCCATTCCGACCCGTTTTAGTGGTAAAAACAGGGAGTTGATTTTTTCCCCATTGACTTATAATGGGGAGGTCGCGAAACTGACCTGACCTTAGGTCACCGATATCAAAATTCCGAGATATACAAATTGCACATACTGGTACCCTAACTAAAGCCTGAAGAGAAGAAATTGATCGGTCAACAACTCTAGCTCTGGCGTGATTGCAAACTTTTCTGAGGTAGGGTCACCAAACCGCCTCTGGTGACTTGACCTGAGGTCAGATCAACTCAAAATTTTCAGACATGTTGCGTAGAAGCCTTTTAGGAAAAGTCAGAAAATTTGAGCTTCCTAGCTCAACGCGTTTGGGAGAAATAACCAAAAAACCTCAGGGGGGGGGGGGCTCCTGAGGCCCCCCCCCCGCCAGGAATAGGGTTAAGTAAACTTTAATTGATTAATTAAGTTAAAGTTAACCAAATTGCATCACATCGCATGTCATTCGATTCGGCTTCTCAAGAGGAGCACAATAACACAATTTTTTTAAGCTCTAGCGTCATTGTGTGCCAAGTTATTGACAAAAACGTCATTTGACCTCAGTTGACCTAATTTGACCTGATCCATGGATAATTACACCAAATAAAGAAGCACCAAGTGACATGCTGTTAAGTACTGTGGTTTCAAAGCACAAAAGTGATATAACGAACCGGATACCTCCAGTATCTTCAGAGTTGAATATTTTCCCATAGGCGTATGGGAAATAGGCGTATGAATATTTTCCCATAGGGTCATTACGACGTAATGACCTCTATTTGACCTCAGGTTAGTGACATAAAAAACAAGCTATATGTTATACAACTCGGTGAACTTAGCACATCCTGAAAGTTTGAAGGAAATCAGTCCAAAGCTGTGAGTTGGACAGGTGCATAAAGAAAATTGAAATTTTTACCATGACCTTGTACCGGTTGTCCTGACCTGGTGACCTGACCAAAGGTCACATGGACCTGAAATTTTTAGGTCATATGTAAAAAGGTTGCCCCATAGGCTGTGCTAAATTTGGCGGCGCAGCGCCGCCGTTTTTACGCTATCTTTGAAAAACCTTAGGGGGGATTGCATCACCCCCCCCCCCCCGCCAGGGCGAGGGCTAAAACACCTTATGTTCCCAGCACTCTCCCAGGCCTCCCTCCATCGTTCCTGCGTCTAAGCAGTAAGGCTGCAATTCCTACGCCCACACAGCCCCCACCATCAGACGGCCACCCACACCCACTACACTGTCGTTTTTGTCCTCAATGGTAGGTACAAGGCGCCAAGGTGCGACACTCCTTGTGCGGCTGCGACTGATGTGGCGCAGGTTAAAAGAAACGCTGCGAGCCGTTAGGTGAGCGATATCGGAAAAACAGACAAGACTGTGACGTGATGACGAAATACAATTTTAAATATGTTGTTAGACTAGGTGATTTGAATGAACGCATTTCCAAAGCAAAATCCTTGCTAAACAGAGCTTGTTTTCCGCTGCCCAGGTCTTGACCTAGAACGGCGGCTCTAAAATGATCAGATTCGTAGCCAAAATAGTCAAATAAAGGTATTATAAGTGTGTCTACATGTAAACGGATACCTCCGCCCGATTGCGTTCATGGACTTTATCTTACGGGAAATATCGAGCAAAAAGAGTGAATAGTCACTCAAAACGGTGCGAATATAAAACTAAATCAAGATAATACCTAGCTGTTACGGCACGCAAGGTGAACTAACGTGTAATTTAGATAACGTTGAGCTGTCAAACAGATTTGTTTCGTCGACACATAGGAAGGAAAAAAAACGACGCATTAGGTGACAGTTCATTGCCTTATCAAGAAAGCATACGACGCAATAATCCTGAACTCTAAGCCTGCGCAGTGCGCAAGTGCTGAAGGCAAACACATGTAACATGCAAATATTATGCCATATGTTTTCCCGGCGACGTGTTACTTTTCCGGGCTGGTTTTCGGGGAAGTTCGTCACACCCCGACTGTTGACAAATCACTGCCGCCAGGCTACGGCTGTTGGCCATGAACAAAACAAAACTGTCCTTATCTGGACCGGTATTTAGAAGGTGGGAGCTGGCGACGTCGCCCCCGACTGGGAAAGGCACCGGCGCCGCACGCGAGCTGCTTACTTTGAAGGTGGCGCGGGCGTCCTCCACGGCCCGCTCGATGAAATCGTCCGATATCCTCCGTGACGGGTGCTCGTTGAAGACGGAGTTCATCAGGGCGATCTTGGCAGCGCTCCGCCTCGCCTCCGCTTTGGTCGGACAGTTCTGAAACAGGGGAGTGAACAGCGTATGAGACGAGGCGGTGTGTCACTGGACGCCGCACTGCAGATAGTCATAGAAGTCAGATACTGCATTGTGGAGACAGGTCAGAGGAACGTTCTCAGAAGTAAGAACAGTTCCGTATACAAGGTCGTAAGGTCACGGGCGTGGGGGGCGAGCGCAGGTCACTTGGGACGTCCTCCACTCTAGCGCCTCGTCTGGTCGTGGACGGCAACAGGCAGGGGGCAGAGCCGTATTGGCCACATGTAAATGAATTTAAGTGGAAAGCCTTGTTGCTGCTGTTTAGCCGGTCGGTAGCTCTCGGTGACAATCGCATTATCTCGCCGTCCGCGAGATGTGACCCTCGCGTCAGCTGATGACGAGATGCTGCCGAGGTCGACTGCGGCCACTGGGGAGAGGCGAGGGAGGGGAGGAGGGGCCGACCAGCGCACCCAGCCGCCCCAGCACGGACAAACCGGCCGGCCCCGGTATATGGATACGGACGGCGGCCCTTATGAAAGTCAAATGACGGCCGGCTCCTTTGGCGCCACAGCTAAGAATACACATCACACTTTTTGCATTGGCCATCGGAACTGGTGTGTAAACAGCGCGCGTGTGGCGGCGCCGCGCGCCGCATACGTAACGCGCGCGCCGACCCTTTAACGTCGCCGGCGGGCGGCGGTCGAGATGGAGGGCTCACGATCCGCCGCCGCCGCCCCCGCCCGGCGTCTGGGGCCGGCGGCCGGTCGGCGGTCGCTCGCCGGACATAACCTGCAAACATGACCTCTGCAGCGGCGGCCTGCCGGCTCTCGCCGGCCGGCGCTCGGCGCTCTAACTGCTGAAGGCCCGTTACTGGAGTCCGGCCGGCCCACTGCACAGCACACGCCACAGTCTCGTTACACGGGCGTTTCGCCGGCAACGCCTGGCCATCGCCGGCACGCACAACGTCCGTTAGCTCGGCAAATTCCAGATCTCTGCCTCTCCGGCCGTCATCTCAGCGAAGTGGCCGAATTATTACCGTCTCCTGATTTATATTCATTGGCGCACTTGGCTCGTGAAAGAGGTGTGCGCGCTGAACACCAGCTTCGTTGTACTAAATTATTTAACTCGTTTCCGAATGCTAAACAAACATTCCTTAGTTACGGCTCGTGCGCTCATTCACTACAGACCCCAATTTTCTTCCTTCCACGGTAACAGACGCCGACTGGTTGTAAGTTTGCTGGTATGGATGGCCACCAAAGATGCTAATCAAATAAGTGATGCATCTCATGTGCAAACGCATAGCGGCACGCAACACCACAGAACACAAATCTGTCAACTTCCAGCCCATCCACGCCTCAAGCCAAATCATAATCATATCAGTCTTTCCATCTAGCGTCGTCTCACATGCCGACTTCTGCATCATTTCTGCAACAGGAGTAATCATGCATCCACTCCTTTTCTGAGGTCGCTTTCTAGCCATGGCCAAACCTTTCTTTCCACATGGCACCACCCAATCTGCCTGGGGGCGGTGTCGGCGGTATGCCTCGCCCGTCCGCCACCTGGCACCGCCGCCTCCGCCGCCGCCTGCACGCTACCCCCGGGCGCGTCGCGACGTTCCGTCTGCACGTGCTGCACGTGGCGGACAGGTACAGGACGTGCCGGCAGTCACGGCAGGTGACGGCATGCCGCCTGGCGATGACACGATGACGGCACGGTGACGGAATCCGTCGGCGGCGTCAGCGAGGGAGGCTTAGGAAGTCACGAACGGAGTCCGTGAGCGTACCAGTCGAGCTGACGAGTGACGAGCCGTCACGGCAGTGTCGAGCACTTGGTGCTTGGTGCAGGATAGCAGCATTATTTGAGGTCTGCATCGTTTTCTCACATGCTAGGCTGTTCATCTTTGAACGTCAGTTGGAGCCTATCCGTTGGAGCGGCTATCAGTTGGAACCTCCACGCCGTACGGTTGAGTCCCTCCGTGCCGCACAGCCGGGTCGGGTCCCCGTGCCGTACCATCCTGTCTCCACTCTGCGGCACTCTGCGCCACGACTGCGGCCGCGCAGACGCCGGCGGCCGATCCCCATTGGCCCCGGGGCTGTCTAAATGTGATCGATCGGCTCATCGGAGCATTCCGAGCCCGTCTATTTACATTTCGCCGGGCCGCTTCACCGGCCGGCATGGCACCCTCACTCTGCGGCCGAGCCCAACCAATTAGCTCGCCGATGGGCCGCGAGAACCCCAGCGATCGATCCGGCTGACATGTGACCTGGCCCGGCTCACCTGACCTCAAGTCACTGGGTCGCATCAATACCCACTCTCCGAAAGCATCTGGTTTATACCACGTGAGAGGAGAAACGAGCTGATGAGTGAAATTGTCATGCCCGAGCGGCTACAAGAAATACTACGGCTCAGTCCAATTGAATCGGCCATAAGAAAGGGTGAACACAGTTCAGCTGTAGATCAACATGCTGCGATGGTGGCCGAGTGTCTCGGTCCGGGCCCGGGGAGCCGCCAAACGCATCAAAACCATCCAACTTGCGCCGGCAGTCAGACAGTGAAGGCCGTCAGCAGCGGGCAGCCCGAGCTGTGGTCAGAAGTGGGCAGTGGGCAGTCGGCAGTGGACGGCAGGGTAGTCTGCAGAGGCGGACCGGCCATAATTACATACTACCAGCCGGCCGCTCGGGGCGGCGCGGACCGCTCCGTTAGCTTGGAACAAACGCCGTCTGCACGGGCGTGAGCGCAGCAGCCGCGCGAGCAATCACGAAAATGGAGCGGCCGGTCACGATCCCGGGCTGGTCACCGGCGCCATGACCGGCAATCTGCGGCCCGACAGCGGGCGGCGGCGGCGGAGGGGACAGCGGCACAGGTAGCGGAACACTGTGCAGTGTGAGGAGACAGCAGCAGTAGGGGACAGCCGCAGAGGTGGTGGCAGCGGGGACAGCAGCAGCGGCGGCGGCAGAGAGCCAGCCGCAGGGACACTGAGCAAAGGCAGCGATGGATCAAATCCAATGTTCACCGAGCCAGTCACGGCAGCAGAGGAGCACGTCAGGATTCGGAGAAACGCCCGGCGGAAAGTTGACTCTGCAGCAACTGTCGATGACGCGGTCAGATGTGAAGAGTGTTCGTCGGCTCCCGTCATCCAGGCAGTGACGCAACCACTCGTCATGGATGTGACAAGACAAACACTAAATATTTACATTACAAAGGAAAATTTCACGAACGCGATAGGGACTGAGTAAAACGGAAAAGAAACAAAACACCAGCGCTGAACAAACTCGGCTGAAGCGGAGACAGTTTCTGTCAACACCATGCCACGAAGCTTCGTCGGCTTCTCTGAAACGTTATCTTCGACACACACAGACTGGCGAAAAAACAAACACCGATAAATGCCGTCAGACGAAGCTGTCACTCCATGAGCAGAGAATCAGCGACAGGTTCCACTAGGCACACCTGAATCAACTAGTTACAAGAACAATCGGCTCTAACGAATGCTCTGGCTCCATCCATTTCGTTCGTCCAATCAGTAATGACAGGGGCTGGGAGATAGCGTTTTTGTTGAGCTTTTCCATCTCCACCCCTGTAATCATCGACCCTCGCGGCTTCCTCGGGAGCTGGGCCCTCTCCAGCGCACCCACCGGTCTCGTCGGCGGTTGGGCACCCATGGGCTGCCGGCGCAACCCCTTCGTTCCGTCCGGCGCACCGAACGGCGCTCTGCCAGCCTCCGTGGCAGTGGGAAGCCATTATTACACCGTCAGTTTCGACGGCTACCGGATCAGGGTATCACGTCCAACAAAAAGCCGGAGTCATTACGGCTCGCGGCGGGCGGGGCCGAGCGGGGGCCGCAGCCGGGCTGACCCAATCCCCGATAATTGCCACGCACACGGCGCCCCGCTCTGCAATTAAGCTAACTAGAAGCGCTGCTGCGCGCCCGGCGCCCACCCCACTGGCCGGGGAACAAAGAAGGCGGGCGGGGCGGCGGCGGAGGAGGCCGACCCGCCATGGGAAGCCGATTCGGAGGGAGATAGCGAGGAACAACCGGACGGGGAAGTCTAACCCTACTGCGCACCAGCCACTCGGCCCGACTGGAGGGGAAATCTCGCCGACCGGAGCTGCAGCTAAAGCTCCTGCACGTGTCCCGGTGACCGCAGCTTTGGCAGCCCCAGCAGAGGTAGCGGTGCTGTGAACGGGACGGGCTGGCGCCATCCGGGAGCCGCCGAGGGGCGACTGACCTCCGCCGTGTCCCACAGACCTCTGGGAGAGGCCGGTACGACACGGACGGTCTGCTGTATCCGGCGGGCCTCCGAGTACGACCCGGTACGACCCGAACAGACCACCGCCCAGCCGGGCAGGCGGTCCGCCGTACCGTACCGTCTCCGCCCGGCCGGCACCCATTAACAATATGCATGCATTAGGCATAATTCAGGCTGAGCCGGCTCGCTCCCACGGTGTCCACCGGGATAGGACCGGCCAATGAAAGGGCTGCGGGCGCCGGCATCCGATAGGAATGTCTAATCACGTCTGACGGTGGCTCTCCGGGCCCGCGGAGTGGGACGCGGCTGCATCGCTGCGCCGCCGCACATGCAGGCATTCGGTAATAAAACAGACCACCCAGCACACTCTCCCATGGCCGGACGACGGTCGGTCGGCTCTGAACGTGACGGCCCACGATCGCCCGCGGCTGTGGAAACGGTCCGTGAGCATAACTTTCCATGATATCACGCACTCACGAATCTTCCTGGTGAGGGGTGAAAGTCCACAAAAATCAGGGCGCTTGGATGAAGGAAGGCTGGGATATGCTAAGTAGGTAGGCACTGTGAGATTATCGATTGCGCTACGATTGATTAAAAGTTGAGTGCAGACACGGTAGAATTGCTGCAGGAAGACTGGATAAATACAGTGTTCCCTTTTTAGCATCTGAATGGGATACAACGACAAAACAAAATAAATGTGGGTTACATTTTTAGAGATCAAGTCATTTAGGTATCTTTCCTTGGACACAATTAACATTTTCCTTAGCCTTAAATGGG